GGCAGTTCAATTATATGAGTTTATAACTTATTGTATAACATTAAAGTGATGAAGTGTTTCAACAATCTTGTAGGTCTGTGTAAAGATCTCTTTGTTCTTGTTGGTTTGCTTCAGTCTGTAGATCAAAGCTAACAGTGTTTTTATTTCTTCACAGCTCGTATGTCGCCCGCTCAGGCAACCCGCTCTTCTCCGTCTACGACAACCTGAGCCCGGTGGTGAGTGTGGAGCAGAACTTTGACAGGTCAGGACCTTCTGGATGCTCTTCAGGTTCAGAATGTCTCCACGGAGTCTTCTACATACACTTCACTCATCCATCCTTTTAATCATCCAGCTAAACATTCATCCAACTATTCATCCATCAGTCAGTCTGTTTATCTAATCATCCAACTAAACATCCTTCTATTTAATCATCTATCCATCCATCCACCTGTTCATCTAATCATTCAACTAATCATCCATCCATCCATCCATCCATCCATCTGTTCATCTAATCATCCAAATAAACATCCATCCATTTTATCATCCATCCATCCAACCATATAATCATCCATCCACCCATCCATCAAATCATCTGTCCATCCGTCTAATTATTCAACTAGTCATCCATCCATCCATCCATCCATCCATTCATCTAATCATCCATCCAACTAAACATCTGTCCCTCCATCCATCCATCCATCCATCCATCCATCCATCCATCCATCCATCCATCCATCCATCCATCCATCCATCCAACTATCACCTGTTCATCCGTCTAATCATCTGTCCATCCATCCATCTAATTATTTATCTAACTACACATCAGTCCATCCATCCATCTGTCCATTCAGCCATCCATCCGTCTGTCCGTCCATCTGTCTGATCTATCTAGGAGTAGATGGAACCAGATCCAGACCTTCCTCTCCTGAGCTTTCCAGTTCCTCCTGGGGGAACCTCAAGGAGTTCCCAGACCAGAGAGGATAGCTAATTTCTCCTGAGAGTTCTGGCTCTGCTCTTCTCCACCTGATCTGATTCCTTTTGTTGAGGAGGAGCAGCTCTACTCCAGTCTTCCTTCAGATGGAGACACCCCCCCCCCCCCCTGCTCCAAGGCTGAGCCCAGCCAACACTTTTTACTAACATCTATGCCTCCAGATACTCAGACTGCTTCTTCTGTAAAAACCATTTTTGTCCTTCAGAAGAAAGTCTCTTGTTGGTTTTTGACGTTTTATGCTAAACTTCTCTATAATCTCAGTGGTTCTGCTAACAAACCCGTTAGCTCTGTGGTTGTGAAACCAGTTTTTGTGTTTGATTGACAGCTTGCTCATCCCACCAGAGCACCCCAGCAGGAAACGAGGAGACAACTATTACCTGAACAGGTGAGCATTTCCTGTACACGTCAGTAGTTTGAGCTTTTTGTCACTCTCAACTTTATGGCCAACTCTTTATAAAGCAAATGGGACAAATGAGTTCACCAGCTGAACATTTTAAACCGTGGTGTTTACTTCCTGTGTAGGACGGAGCCAGACCAGTCAGTAATGGGTCATCCAGCTGACTTCACTGGTTCTGACAGGCTGTTAGTTCATAACTGTAATTTCTTACAGTTTTACTTGGAAAAGACTCCGTCTGCTTCTTCATACTCACCTGTCAGGTGGTTCTGAATGAACTGTAAAGTTTAAATTTGGTTTCCAGAGCTACGATGCTTCGTGCTCACACCTCAGCCCACCAGGCCGAGCTGGTCCGGTCCGGTCTGGACGCCTTCCTGTTGGTTGGAGACGTGTACAGGCGGGACGAGATCGATGCCAGTCACTACCCCGTCTTTCATCAAATGGAGGGGGTCCGACTCTTCACGAACCACGAGGTATGAACCAGAACCACTCTGAACCTCCCTGAATCCCCCAGAACCCCTTTGAACCCTGACTTTTGTGTGTCTCAGCTGTTCTCGAAGGTCCACAAAGGAGACGAGCTGTCTCTGTTTGAGAGAGGAGGCCGGCGGACCCCCCACAAACAGGAAGTCCACACCCTGGAAGCCGTGAAGCTGCTGGAGTTCGACCTGAAGCAGACCCTGACCCGACTCGTCTCGCACCTGTTCGGAGCCGGTGAGACCAGCAGGGACATTTTCAATGCTGGACCTTTTTGTTGTGTCTGTCCCTCAAACGTCCTTCTTGGACTCTTCTTCTCGGTCAGACGTGGAGGTCCGGTGGGTCGACTGCTACTTCCCCTTCACCCACCCGTCCTTTGAGATGGAGGTGCGTTTCCAGGGCGACTGGATGGAGGTTCTGGGCTGTGGCGTGATGGAGCAGGAGCTGCTGAACTCAGGTCAGGATTCAGGACCTCGTCCTCCTCACAGGAACCAGATCTTTGAGTCTTGAAGTTGGTCTCTGGGTTTGCAGATGTCTCGTTGGGGGTTGGGGGGGGGTTGACTCTTTGAATCTTTGAGGTTTCTTGGTTGTAGCTTGTGAATCTGAAGCTTCAGCTTCTCTTCAGATGTTGTACTGGACCGAGGTCTGGAGACCGGCTCGATTTGAGTCTTTGTCCTTCAGGGTCCACTGCCCGTCCTTCGTGTTAAACAGGAAATAAACTGAAAACTACAAAATGAACTTCAAGAAGTGAATTGAAGCAGGAAGAAGACGTGAATAAATCCAAACAGGTCTGATTCAGATTGAATGTGTACTTTTATTCTGTTAAGTGATCGATTTGTTGATCGGTCCAACAGGTGCTCAGGATGTCACACAGGAAGTTCCCTGCTGACTTCCTGTCCCCCCCGTGTGTGGGCTCTGCTGTCAGCCTGCTAAGTGGCCGACGTGCTGCGCTGCCCTTGAACAAAGCTGAAACACGGCGCTGCACTTCGCTGCTGCTTGTTCCGATCAATAAAACATGCGGCGGGATCAAACCGTGTTTCTGCTGACGCGCTTCAGACGCGTCGGCCATGTTTTACAGCTGTTCAAGACGCTAATTGAAACGAGAACATGTTCTTTATACAAAACGCCTCGAGTCCCGGCCTGAACATCCTGGATCAAAGTCACGCAGGAACTCACGGAAGAGCTGCGTTTGTAGGAACCTTCAGTTCTCAGTGGTTCCTTTCAGGATGGACCGGACTCTAAGCTAAGAGAACCCACTTGTACAGGTGTGTGTTAGCTCCATGCCAGGGTGGACAGACATCAGCACTGACCTCAGGTACAGCTGTTTCTGCCCGTCCATCAGTGAAGGGTTAAAGGTAGAGATGCATTCGGGCCTAAAAAGTCCAGCCCAGCCCGACCAGAACCGACCAATTTACTGTGATTACAGGCCCAAACCCCAAAAACATTTATTTTAAATTAAGCTTTTACTGCTTTTGTAATCAAATCAGTTTGACACGAGTGAAAAACATATTTCAAAGAAAGGAAGATAGAAGATTTCTTGTTTATTAACAAGAGTCAGCAGATTATTATAGATAATATAATATTATAGTTAATATAGTATTATAGTTATTATAGTTAATATAGTATTATAGTTATTATAGTTAATATAGTATTATAGTTATTATAATATACTTAGTATAATGTTCTATTTATTATGTTATGATATAACTATAATATTATAGTTATATTATAGTTATAATATTATAACTATAATATTATAGTTATATTATAGTTATAATATTATACGTAATATAAAATTCTATTTATTATAGTTATAATATTAAAGTTATTATAGTTATTATAATAATTGTTTTTAATTATAGTTATTATAGTTATTATAATAATTTTAGTTATTATAATATAGTTATTATAAAATTGTAGTTATAATATTATAGTTATGAACGGTCGGCGGATACGCGCGGCCGAAGACCCAAGTTGGATAATCAGCCGTGCACGTTCGCTCACACAATTAAAAGCCCTGCCCGCCCATCCAGCACATTATTTTGACCCGGTCTGGCTCAGATTTTCGTGTCGGGCCTGGAGCCAGCCCGGGTTAGAAATGACAGCTTTGGTTAAAGGTCGTTTAGAGTCTGTTGTTGTTCACCCTGAAGGTCAGACCGTGCACACAGCATCAGAACTAGTTTCTGATCGGATCAAACAGGCTGACGTCACAAAGACTCGACTTCAAGTCTGACTAGAAGACGGGTCTGAGGACAAGAAACAACGAGTGCCACTGAGCTCTGTGAGGAAGAGGAAGATGACGACGAAGATTTCTATCTAATCAAGACACTCGACAACAACGTGTGTCCTCATTTACCTCCACACACACATTCATACAGCACACCACTACTTCTCTAATCTGAACCTGTGGAGACTAATCAGAGCTTCATCACATTCAGACACTGATGGGACACATCAGAGACAATGAGGTTCAGTGTCTTGCCCAGGGGCACTTCAGCATGGGACTGCTGGTGGAATCAAACCCCCAACTCTCCCACTGGAGAACGACCGCACTAACCACTCAGCCACAGCTGCCTCTGAAGAAGAAGATGAAGAAGAAGTTAAAAGGTTCTGTACTGTCGTTCCACCTCATGTGGTACATGAGGTGGAATGACCCTGTGTACAATGGGTCCCAGTTACGTCCAACAAAAGTATAAAATGTAAAGAACAACAGTCTAAGATCCAAGATATGAACTAAAAATACTCTTCAGGCCTCAGGGGCGGAGCCTGTGACTCTTTTCTGACCGTGCGGGGGCCTTGGCGGGGGGAGGGGGGTAAACTGATGCTGACAGGAAGTTGAAGCTGTGTCTCTGGAGGAAGTCCTCCCAGCTCCACGTTCACTCCAAAGTTTGTCCTGTGGTTTTCTGCGAGGCAGGAACAGAACCGGTGATGGCTCCATGTTCTGATGAGCACCTCAGGTCGGACAGATGTGGGTCCAGATGTTAATACCGGGCCGAGGCTTTTAGAACACACCCAGCACTGAAGGTGACTGTTTGAAGGGAAGCTTGTCGCCACGTTTCCTCTAAGAGTTTCACACCGACACGTCTGTTGGCCAACGGTCGGGTCGGACCTGCTGAGGGTCCGACTCTGCTTCTACACACCAAACTCCAGCTCCGTGTCTGTAAAACCATCTGCGTTAAACTCATGCACGTGTTTTAATTCCTGCAAGTTCCAGTGAAGTCCAGCGGTTCAGGAGATATTTTGCTAACAGTCATTACTGCCAGCCCTCACCTTGAGACGGCGAGTGGTAATGAAACTGGGACGAGGGCTGAAGCAGAACCAAAAGAACCTGAAGTGTTTCTGTGAGCAGGAGTTGTGCTGAAAAACGTCCCCCTTCATTAGTCAGGTTCAGGTTCTGGACTCTGACTGGACCCTTGGTTCCGTTCTGTTGTAGACCAGCTGCTGTGTTTGGGATCGTGGTTCTGTTGGACCCAGTTTGGTCTTGTTGGACCGACAGACTCACATTTGATCTCCAGAAACCTTTGTCAAGTCCAGTCAGATTTATTTATAGAGCACATTTAAAACAAACTGTTTCCAAAGAGCTTAACAAAAAGATCACAGCATCAAATAAACAGTAACTAAATATGTTTACAGCTCATGGAATAAAAATAGAAAACACAAAACATAATTAGAAACAATGAAATACTAAATCTGATCTGATGACCTTGACTTTGGTCTCCAGAGGAGTTCTGGTCCACTCAGGGACTGACAGGAGCCCAAACCATCAGCCTCCACCTCCGTGCCTGCGTAACATCTTAGCTTAGCAGTAACTGACGCTGTAAGACGCTGCAGGTGTGTGAGACTCTGCAGGTGAGTGAGACTCTGCAGGTGTGAGAGACTGCAGGTGTGTGAGACTTTGTGAGAGATGCTGCAGGTGTGAGAGACTCTGCAGGTGTGTGAGACTGCAGGTGTGTGAGACTTTGTGAGAGACTCTGCAGGTGTGAGAGACACTGCAGGTGTGTGAGACTCTGCAGGTGTGAGAGACACTGCAGGTGAGTGAGACTGCAGGTGTGTGAGACTTTGTGTGAGACTCTGCAGGTGTGTGACACTCTGCAGGTGTGAGAGACACTGCAAGTGAGTGAGACTCTGCAGGTGTGAGAGACGCTGCACGTGAGTGAGACTCTGCAGGTGTGAGAGATGCTGCAGGTGTGTGAGACTGCAGGTGTGTGAGACTTTGTGAGAGACGCTGCAGGTGTGTGAGACTCTGCAGGTGTGTGAGACTCTGCAGGTGTGTG